TGATACCTTTAACCATCACTTAGATTGAGTGTCCAAGACATTAGACTGCATGTCTTGTGACACAATTACGAATATTGGTTATTGACCTTTGGCTCAAGGTCAACTGTACCAAGTACCAGTATTTTTCATTATCTACAGTGAGGAAAATAAGTATTGGAACATCCTGCTATTTTGCAAGTTCTCTCTCTTAGAAATCATTGAGGGGTCTGAAATTGTCATCGTAGGTGCATGGCCACTGTGAAAGACATAATCTAAAAAATAGAAATCCAGAAATCCCAATGTATGATTTTTTAACTATTGATTTGTATAATACAGCCGCAAACAAGTATTTGAACACCTGTCTATTCGCTAGAATTCTAACCCTAAAAGACATGTTAGTCTGCCTCCAAAATGTACACATACACTCCATTTATTATCCTAAATTAGATACACCTGTTTGAGGCAGTTAACTGCATAAAGAAACCTGCCACCACATACAATCAGCACGAATCCTACTAACATGGCCAAGACCAAAGAGCTGTCCAAAAACACTAGGGACAAAATTACACACCTCCACGGGGCTGGAAAGGGCTAAGGGGAAATTACCAAGCAGCTTTGTGAAAAAAAGGTCCACTGTTGGACCAATCATTATAAAATGAAAGAACCTAAACATTACTGTCAATCTCCCTCTTAGTGGGGATTCATGCAAGATCTCACCTCATGGGGTTTCAGTGATCCTAAGAAAGGTGAGAAATCGACCCAGAACTATATGGAAGGAGCTGGTCAATGATCTGAAAAGAGCTGAGACCACTGTTTCCAAGGTTACTGTTGGTAATACTCTAAGATGTCTTGGTTTATAATCATGCATGGCACGGAAGGTTCCCCTGCTTAAACCAGCACATGTCAAGGCCTGTCTTAAATTTGCCAATGAGCATTTGGAAGATCAAGACAAGTCACTGGAGAAAGTCATGTGGTCAGATTAGACCAAAATAGAACTTTTTGGTCTTAATTCCACTAATCGTGTTTGGAGGAAGAAGAATGATGAGTACCATCCCTACTGTGAAGCATGGGGGTGGTAGATTCTTGCTTTGGGGGTATTCTCCTGCACATGGGACAGGGCTAACACACTGTATTAAGAAGAAGATGACGGAGTCCATGTATTGCAAGATTTTGGGGAACAACCTCCTTCCCTCATCTAGAGCATTAAAGATCGGTCGAGGCTGGGTCTTACAACATTACAATGACCTGAAGCACACAGCCAGGATAACCAAGGAGTGGCTCTGTTTTTTTTTTTAGGTTATGTATCTCACAGTGGACTTATGATGATTATTTCAGACCTCTCCATAATTTCCAAGTGGAACAACTTGCAAAATAGCAGGTTTTCAAATACTTATTTTTCTCAATGTATGTCCCATATCACTAGTGGCATGTTCAATAACCCTCCTGGGGAGTCCAGGCACTGCAAGATGAAGAGAAGAGAATGTTTTGGCATCATCCACAGATCTATTGGTTTAAAAGTGAACTTCAGAGGACCCAGAAATTGGTCTATTTTTAATTCAAGCTGGGTCAAAACACGGCGCTCAAAGCACATCATTACCAAAGAGGTCAGAATTATTTAGTCAGTTTGGTAGTCTTTGCTTTTCTGGGGCCTTGATAATGGTGGCTGCTTTTAAGCATTGAGATGTTCTAAATGTCTCTAAATACCAGAAACATCTGATCAGCACAGTGCTTAGGAAACTTAGGTCGGTGTTGTTGTTTTTTTCATGTTAGACAAACAGATTTCTCAAAACATTAATTAGAAACGGAACTGCAGTGATCAGCATCGATTTCTAGGGCAGGAACCTCTGCAGGAAGAGAAAACAGGTTAGTGACCACGTCAATCTGCCAGAGGATGATACCAAATGTGTGAGTCATTTACCTGGTCTTATAGTTCAGTCTGAGCCCAGAGGATGAGGCTGGTTGCAGTTGGTTGGCTGGAAATCAGATGTGGTGGGCGCCACCCAGAGAGTCCCAGACTCTGATGTTTCGGAGGTCGGAGGATAGATAGGAGATCAGAACCGAGCAGATGAAGGAAGGCAGGATAATCCAGAGGACAAAGCCAAAGCAGGTGTCAAAGCCATGCTCGGTAGTCAAAGCCAGGAGATCAGAGATCTGAAGGGAAATTAAGAAGGATGTTAGGAAACAGTGCCAGGTTCAGTCCACAGACAGGCAGAGATCCTGCAGGAGTCCGAGGACAGGTCAGGCAAACAGACCAGACAGGGGAAAGGCAGGCTCAAAGGTCCAGAGGCAGAACGGGTCAAGATCAGGCAATCAGAAACACACAGGAATGCTAGTCAACTCTCACCAATGGCTCGAATAATATGGCATTGATGACTGGTCTTAAGTCTATTTAAATAGAAGCTGAAGCAGGTGGATCAGATAAGCGGTAATGAGTACTGGGAGGAGATAAGCAGGTGGTTTAAAAGAGTAATAAGACCAGAAATCAGAGCCAAGATCATGGCACCTACAACAGCACCTAAAAATATCTGCCCTGATTCCTCTGGAAGAAGATAGATATTTTTTCTGAAAATATAGAAACTTGCCCATATTTTATTACATGTTTAATTTGGATCCAGTGCTTTTAATTACATGTCTTGTTATTAATTATGTTTCTGTGCTCAAATTTTTTCAAACTGCCCTTTTTAATGAGGTACCCTATCTCAAAGACGCAACCTCAAAAATATAGGTTGAATAACTTGCTGAGAAAAGCAATATTTATTAAAAAGAGCTGTGGTAGTAGGGTGCCTGTGCTGAGTGCAACAGAATGGGATGAGTAAGACAGGAATAATGAAGATAAAAGGAAACAATCTAGAACTAGATATATATATATATACCGTACTATGGTAAAAATAACGTTCGGGACTAACGAATTAAATAAGATAAAAAATATAAAAAAAACTGGTATTGGTTAGGCAAGAAAATAAAAGGCAACTTTTTCATTTGAAAAACATTTTGGGATTGTGTTTTTGATCTGCAGCAGGATACATTGATAAGTGGTCTGGTACATAAGTGCTGAATACATCATTGTTAGATTGTGTTCCATTGCAAACCACTGATGACAAATAGTTCAGAGGAAAACTGATCATTTTATTTCAGCTTTCTTTGTTGTTTGTTTCACCAGATTGAAACTAAATCCTGCAGCCAACATGGCCACTGAGTAAGTAAGATGTGATTATTATGTGTTTTATATTTTTACACCAGAAAAAATAAATGATAAATATAACATTGTTGATTTTTGTTATGTATTACTGACATGTTTAGGTAATTTCTGTTCCAATTTTATTTTATGTTTTTGCCATTTAAGGTTATCGAATAAAATGTATAAACATAAAAACCCTCAGAATTAAAATCTGATTTCATAGCTACTTCTTATGCTTATCAAACAAGCTGACACTGTAAATAATGATAGTATAGTGTCTCCACAAGACTAGACAACACAGTTTTAAAGGTAGTCTTTAAAACAGCAATAGCAAAATCAAATTTATATTGTATGTCGGTCATTCTGAAATTGGTTTCTGTGTACAGAAAAAGACTGTCTGCAAGGCGTAAGCATACTCTGAAGGTAAGCCCACATGGTGCACCATACTTTAACAATACTACTATAACACCAGGTTTCGTCCGAGTGCATTAAACTGTAAAGTATAAACACAGACATGTTTTTCTCCCATTGTTTTATAAGCTGGACCCAAAGATCTAAGACGTTTGCCTTTAAAATATTGTTTATGACTCTCTGAACCTGTGTTAGTAAGCACTTCCTGTTGCAATTATAATCCTTCCACCCCAGAGGTGCAGCATACCAATTTACTGATTATTTCCTTAACAAAAATTACTGTATGTAAATGTACCTAAACTATTTTAAACTAGAAAAAGGAATATTCTTTTAGGTTAATCACCAGTTAGTTTTGTCTTTTTTACATTTTAATGGAAATTATTAGTGATCTATTTTATAATTTACCTGCTGTGACTTATATTTGGTTTATATTAACAGGTAAACTAAACGTCAAAGTAAATTTAGCCAATAGACATTTTTTTAACTTTTGACCAGCATGCTGAAGTAGTAGTAAATTAATAGTAAATTTTCACACATACTAATTTCTGTGTGGTATTCTGCAAGCTTTCCTGACCTATCCTGTAAGGTTTAAACAAGTCAGCTATGGTATTAGTAGTTTAAGAGGATAATGGTGTAGATGAACCTCACTGGAGATGAACAGTTCTATAGAAACACACAGAGACAGATGAACAATATTCTGATGCTCATTTTGAACCAATCCGACAGTTCAACTAAAATCAGCTATTACAAAAATATGGGCTTTGTCAATTGATTAACAACATATATAAAACTGGTAAAATAGCAAAAACACTTGATATGTGATAGCATTGCTCAGGGTATATCAGCCCTTCTGATTGTGTTCATATGACAAGGTGTCATTTATAATATATTAATTGCTTCAACAACTCATGACAGTATTACTATATAAGGTCAGTTGGCATTCCATTTTTACAGCCTTCCTAACTTCATAAATAAAATTTCTCGGAATATTTATCTGTGAATTTAAGTAGTTCTTCGTACCAGTTTTTAGAATAACACTGCTGACGTTGAGAAAATTCTCCACTCTGTACCAGTGAGAGGAGTTAAAGCACTGGTTCTTTTATTCATTCCTCTTCCTCCAGAAAAAGAACTTGACAGAAAACAGAAATCAGTAGCAGGATCTGGCAGAGGAGGGTAGATGAAAAACAGGGAAGGAGAAAAAAAAGTGGTTCATATTGTTATTAGTGACTATGTTTAACTCACAGTCCATGTTCTGCTGAAGTTCCCTGGCATAAGTGTAGAAAATATAAGTAGAATCAAATGCAAAAAAATGAAAATTACAAGCAAGCTGCTGCAAAGGGGCCTGGATTTTGAGACATTTCAACAGTTTTACGCTCTGGTTCTTGTTCAGTGAACTGTTACACTGCAGAACCTTGGTTAGAACGGGAGGCTGAGTTTAACTTTAACTGTTTGGTGGATGCAAATAAATTATGAGAAGAGACTAAGAGAAATGTAGCTAGAAAGGCAATTTTTCATACATTATTTTTTCATGGACTAGATGTATATTATTAATAACTTATTAACAAACCTGAATCTCACTTTCATTGTACTTCTAGTGTACTTTTATAAACGTAGAAACGGTCTTTACGTGCTTATTGCTATCAAACTCATATATGGCCTCTTATGAACCTTGAAGTGTACTTTCATTATACACTTACTTGAAATAAAAATAGCCTTAAAGTCTCTTACAAGCAAACTAATAGTAAATGTGGAAGGTTATTTTTTGGGATGCTTTAAAGAAAATTAGCAAAAAACTAAAAATGGATCAATTGATATGCCAAGAAGTAAACTGGTTATGAAGCTGCCAGTATATTTGAATCAGTTTACTTGTTAAACTTGGGAAATATAGTTTAGTATCCTTCAATGTAGATGATGACTTGTACTGGAGGTATGTTCTTTTTTTTTGCTGGCCATAATATTTGTTGCAGTTACCTTGGAAATCAGAAGTTAACAGCTTTCTAGTTAACAAAGTCAGAAAAAGTAGGTTTCTAATATGGCCTCTTATGAACCTTGTTTTAAGCTTTACTTTCTAAATAAAAAACCCAAACTTAGTTTGTTTCATTCAGAGCTGCAATGTTAAATGATTTTTAGATGAAAGTGTGCCTTGTAAAATAAAAATGTTTTCATTGCTGCTTGCAATTATTGATACACAGACCTGCTATATTGGATCCAGAACCAGCATTAAGAAAATATTTAACTAAATCAAATTTTAGTAGGTAGTTACACAACTAATACTTCTGACTGGAAATTCATGATTTCTTAGGTACAATTGCAACATAAGACAAGGACACTTTAAAAACTGGATTCCAGAAAAACATATTAATCTCCATCTTGATAAGTCAGACATGTGAGTCGGATTATGTTCACAAAGAAGAGGTGCTTCCAAACTAATTTAGACAGATTGTGAAAAATATCTAAAAGAAGTTGGCATTAAATACAAAAAAAGTCTTAGGTCGTTGCCTACAACTGATAAAAAAATGGACGAACAACAAAGGTGTTATATCTGTGCATGTAATAATGCATCATTTATGTACTTTTCACATCCAAGTGAGGTCTAAAAAATATAAACATTTGTGTTTACTTGCCAATTCCACAGAGCTGTATGCTAGTTGTTGCAAACAATTTACTGGAGGCAGAGTCTCAGGTGAAGGCCACAGAGAGAGAGAAGTTCCTGGCAGAGAAATGTCCTCCCTTGGATGTGCCATACTCCAGGGAGGAGCTAATGGTAAGAACAACCCAATCAGACTATCTTCAGTGCATAAGATGTTCTCAATGTTAAGCACCAGACAAAGCTAAAGTTAAACATGGTTTGATGTTTTTTCAAGACTTTTCTAAAGATATCAAACATGTTTTGTTGAGGTGTTTTACATTTATGTTGTCTTCAGACATAAAAATCCCCAAAACAAACAAGTCAATTGCTTTTTTTTTTAGGAACTTTGCCAGAAACTCCATCAGCAAATCAACATCAGTGAAGAGGAGAGATACTGTACAGAGTTTAAACTGAACATGGTCCTCAATGAGGTAAGGCTGCCTGTTTGGCTTCTGTCCTTTTATAATTCAATAAAGCAAACATCAAAGTAACAGAGAAAATCATCAGAAGGTTTGTTTAAGGTAAGAGCTGATTTTAAATAAAGAAACCAGTTTTACAGTTCTCAAAAAATATAATGTAATAATAATAATAAAAAAAATGTATGACAGACAAAAATATGAATGCATAAAAAGAAATAAATACAAAATATATGGATAAATAAAAATGACATAAGAAACAAATAATTGTTGCAAAGGTGAATAAATATCAAATATGTGTATTTATGTCTCATTAATGAATTAATATTTGTATTTATTTGCTGTATTTTGTCCGATTGTATGTTTGTTTATTTATTAAACATTTCAATTATTCATAGATTTATTTTGCATTATATCAGAGATGGTCCTCCATATGGGAGTCATATATTTTTTCACATCCACAAACTTTGTAATTTTGTATTTTTATTTATTTATTTTGTTTCTTTCTGCACTAGTGGTAAGACCCCAATAATGTTAGGATCCCTTACATTCCAGATCACTTTCCATTAAAAGGGAAAGGTGAATCTAAAAACCTCTACTGCATTAATCAGTGATCCAGAATACCTTTGGGTTTATACATCATGCCAAGAACAATGTTTTAGTGCTGAAGCTATTACAACGGAAGGGTAATAAAACTAAAAAGGAAAAGTGTTATGAAGTGAATTTTGTTTAAATGTCAACACTAGATTTTAAAGGTCTGGGTTTAGAATGAACAACAATCTAATTTGGGGTAGATATTGTTTTTTTTCTTCTTCTGTATAACAAGGCAGTCTTCTCTGATTTTATTTTCCCCATCTAATCTTATTTTCTCTGTCTGGTCATTTGTATTGACTTGACAGAGGTAAGCCATTGTTTCTAGTCAGTATTTAACCCATTTTAAAGTAAATTTCAGGAATCTTATAGAAATCCAATTTTAGACAGTTTACAATAACTACAAAAAAACTTTTGGCATTTTCAGACAATATAAAGTGATCAGCATCCTCAGCAGAGACGCCCAGACTTCTCTTTAACCAGTCACCTCCTCCAGCTCCTCTGGGGGGAGACCAGCATGTTTCAACACCAGCGAAAAGACATAGTCCCTCCAGATGTCCAGCATGTTCTTGGCTGCCCTCTTGGTCTCCTCCTGGATAAAACAAAACTATAGTCGTTACGCCAACATTTTATTTTACCTCAGGATCAATGTACTAAACTGTTAACAGACTCTACAGTCATAATTTAGGCATTACGATTTAGGCATGTTGGTATATCTTGACAGCAACAGCCAAGTCTTAAGTATAATTATCATTATTTCTGTGTAAAGTCTTCAATTTAAACTTAACAGAAATCAAGGCTTAATTGGGCTTATCTGCGTCTTATTAATCTATACATACAGTGAAAAGTTTAACAAAGAAAGGTCAGTTACTAGAATGAAATACAGCTTTTCCTCATTACTTTAATTATTTAGAAGAACTGTGCAGTTTAGCAGTGAGTTTTAATAGCTCTGTATTAGAGTTTGCTATATTTATATCTGTTTGGACAGATCATTTTTCATTTATTTCAAATTAAATTCATGAACTTCCTCTAACTGAACTCTAAGAAGATACAGTGTCCAATTATTTGGTTCTGTCCTGCATTTCAAATAATGTGTGTGAGAAGCGTTTTGATCACTGGTATCAGTGGGTGGGTTGCTGTACTTGTGTTTGGTTGTGTGTATCGAAAGTAGGTGTGTGTGCAAATTTGTCACCTGGAGGTGCAAATTTGTTACAGTGGAACTGAGTGAATAAAGTTAGCAGCTGTAGTTATTCACAAATGCATCCCTTCTTTCTAGAATGAAAATTGTGAATAGTTGGAATGGAATTTAACTTTGTGGAAACTTGATTTAGTAATAACTAATTTGAAATGGTAAATAGTAATATGCATTTGTATAAAAACAGGTCCCTATAGTTGCTAGCACTTCATATTGGGCAGTCTCATGTAATAGCTCTTCCTCCAGGCAAGCGTCATATGGGTCTGCACAAACATGAGTTGATAATTGTCTCCCCCTTGTGGTCTAGAGCAATGATCTTCAAATTTGGTGCTCGGGATCCACTGTCCTACATGTTTTAGATGGCCCAATCCCAAACCGGCCCCCTTGCTCTAACCCTTCACCATCAAGCATCCAATCAGGTCACACTTGCAGCTGTGGAGGGCACTTTGATTGAAGGTGCAGGGTATGAAGGGGAATGAGATGCCCTTTTCCCTCCACCTGAAAAGGAAAGCAGTCGTTGCCATATTTTTACAAATATCCTAATACAAATAACCCATCAGAAATGGAGTGAAATTTAAAACCTGTTGCAACTATCCCCATTCTCCTCGACTTCAAATGGGGCATTAGAGTAATTCAACAAGTCCTGCAGCTCCATTATTTTCCAGACAAAAAGAAAGCTTCACATCAAAAAATGTGAAAATCAAACATTTGCCGCTTTCTTGAATATAAATTTATACATTCAAATAATGCTATTTCAAAGAGGAGCTTCCCTTCTGGAGATAATGACGTCTTTTTTTTTTTTTCCTAACTAGTGATTTTTTTTTTTTGTCAGTGTGGTGAAGATGAAGCAAATCAGAGGAAAAAGTGTTCCTCCAGCATTTGCGCTGTTGCACCTGCTGCCAAATTTCAGTGAATCTTCACTGATGTAGACTCTCTGTTTAAAGGCTCCACTCAACATACGCACTACCTTGTTTGGGACGACCCTAACATGGCAGAGCCTCTGCAGGAATGGTGGGATAATGCGTAAAGGAAGGGTTGAGACAGGCTTGGGATGGGGCTGATGTGTCTCTGCTCCACCTGCATCAAATGCTTGCACTCCCTGATAAGCAGCCACTATGGGCTACAAGTTACTGCTAGCCACCCATTTATTTACAGTAAGTCAGGTGTGTGGAGGCAGGGAATAACTAAAACATGCATCATATTGGCCCCTAAGGACCGAGTTTGAAAACCACAGGAGTAGAGCACTTTCTTAATGCTAAGCTTGTTTGCAGCCTTTCGAAACTTGGAGTAGGTTTTTCTTCTTTCAGCATTTTCACTTTTCATTTGTCTTAGCATTATTCTGTATCTGCAGCCCATCTGAAATGTGTTGCTTTTGATTTTTCTGTTTTTGCAGCATTACCTTTTTTGTTCATTTAGTTATTTTTTTTATTTTTGCATTACATGTGTTTCTGTGTTACTCTAAATTTGCATTTATTCAATACTGCACTCCTGGACCATAGAACAAATGGACCATAGAAACAGAAATTCAATTTCACCTGCAGCAGATCTCAATATAAGATTTTCACACCTTGTAAGAGAAAGAGCCATTAGATGACAGGAATTCAACCTATCAAATAGTTCCTTTTTTGTAATCTCTCTAAAGGTTAGAGACCTAAACATCAAGATTGTGGATCTCAGAGGAAAGTTCAAAAGACCCCGACTGAAGAAGGTGCGTATGTCTGCTGATGCCATGCTGAAGGCTTTGCTGGGCTCCAAACACACCGTTAACATGGACTTGAGGGCAAACCTGAAGCAAGTCAAGAAGGAGGTTAAAGAGGAGGTAAGCTACTATGTGACCAAACAAAATATAATGTCTTGAACACTAACTTTTTATTCATTTATTAATTTTGGGCAGGGACAGCACAACACAGTATTGCCAACAACTGGGTGACTGATGTGGTGACACAGGGTTTCTATCCAAACGCTAATTTACACTCATGTCTCTGGTTAGGCTTTTTGATGACAGAAAAAAAATCATAAAAAAATTACAAATACAAAAAAAATGAAATACAATAAATATTAAGTTAATTATGCAGTTAAAACTCATGCAAAACCAAAAAACAAAAGAAAAGAAAAACAAAACAAGATATTCAATTTCCAAAGTTATTCCTTTGGTCAGTATTTGAAGCTTTTATTTCTGGCAGCAACCTTCAAATTGGGGATGTCTCAACTAATTGCAGAGCAGAGCTGATATCTGATATCCACTGATATTCAGTGATGATTGATTAAAAGGCTTTTGCTAAACTGCAATCATCAAAATCAGGTGCGTTAAAGCAGAGAAACATTATGAACCTGCTGAAAAGTCTATGGTCATCCCTCCATTAAATTTACCAAACAAAACAATTTCGCTCGTTTTATTTTTATTTTTTCACAGCCACCAAACTCTGCCCTTCTATTAAATTAATTATTTTCAATGGCTAATCGGGCTGTGCAGTATGGTTGTAAAATGTATTGCAAAAGAAAAGCCTTTCACTTCAGTCGATCATTAGTGATTCTGGTGATTTTTATACCAGTTTAAAATTAGGACGAGAGGAATAAAGTCTTAACCTGAATAAACCTTAAGTCTATTTAACATTAGCTTCATTTAACCAAGATAGAATAAGCCCGGCGTACACTGTGCGATTTTCGGGGCGATTTTCCAGTCGTGCGAGAATCTTATCCCCTGCCAATATCCCCCAGAATGCCACATGGTCCTGGATAGGATTTCAGTGGCATGAATGATTTATTTCTCAGCCCTTAGGAATTAAGGGTTAATTCCATTTTGTGATGGATATCTTCTTGGTCTGTTTTTAATGCAATAGCTTTACATTTCATAAACATTTTTTTATTTTTTTTTTCACAGGACAAGCAGCTGCGTGATGTGGGAGACTGGCGCAAGAACATTGAAGACAAGTCTGACAGGAAGAAGATGTTTGACAGTTAAAATGATCTATCAATGGCTCATTAGAACAACTCAGAATCATTATTTTGAGGTTGTGTTAAGAGGTCGTAAATTTTCTTAGAGACTAAATTTGTAACTTTTTAAAACAGACAATAGCTGTAGACCTACTGCTGTCAGAGAGGGACCTCTGATGTATTATATTCTGGTAGAATTTACCTTCAGTTCCTCTTTTTTTGGTCAATTTCGGAAGGGTCGAAATAGAGTTGAAACATTGCATTTAAAAGGAATAACCACTTCTCACTGGAAGATCTCTGAAAGGTAAAAAAAAAAAAAAACAAGCATAAGAACTGCTAATGTTGAACAAAAATGGCAAATTGCTCCCTATTTTATAAAGGCTCCTTCTTTTGAAAGTTCTTGTTTAAAAACTTGCATGATTCTTACAATCAAAGCTTCAGTGGTGACAGTAGTTATAGTCCTAAACATTGAAATGTCCATGTAAATGAAATGTTATTCTGAGATTAAATACAGGTCTGACCTTGTTCAATATCGTATTTGATTTATAAGCAGTTAATAGCTTCTTGTAGTGACAGATATTCCGATTGTTGTCTTATTTCACATGGAGAGCTGTGAATGTTTTGCTGAGGTTTCTGTTCAGGGAGTGGGGATTGGCTCCTGTAGAAAGTGATGGTTTTCAAGCCAGTCCAAACTGATGTTTGGGTCTTGCTTAGATTTTTCACGTATTCTTTTGATGTAGGTTCTCTTAGCTGTTCATGTATTGTTACAGGGACTTAAAGATAATCCTAAATAAAAAAAATAGTCATAGGGCTTTGATGATAAGAATGAACAAACTTACAAAAGATATTGAGCAGGAAGCTCAGAAGGTGAATCTAGTATAGAGTCTGTGTTAGAAAGCAGGGAAGATGGGCAGAGAAGGCATGGGAAGCAGGTAATTGAAAGCATTATTGAGAAAATGCCAAACAGCCAAAACCAATATGCTAGAGAGCGGAGGTAAAGCTGGGAAAAGTCTGAGCAGGAGTGCAAAACAAACAGAGGAACAGTCACAAAATGTCAGGAATTACGTTGAGGTCGCCCTCAAAGCTTTGTTTTTGTTTTGAAAACATGCACATTAATTGGCGAGGTCCTTCGCTCTCCTGTATAGAGGCTAGGGGTGCGATGACAGTGGAACTCAGGGGGCGGACTCATGTTTCAGCTTTCAAAAACCTACAATGCAGCAATTGAGTTAATCCCTTCCCACTATCATCGCAGCCCCAGCCTCTGTACAGGAGAGTGGAGGACCCTGCTTATTCAGCCAGGCCAACAATGCCCTTTAATGACCGACCTTTCAGACACTTAGATGGGTATGGGGTATTGCTGTCTAGCAAAATAAGCCAAACGACCCCCCATTCCAAAGGGGTGGACCCCATCGTCTGTTCCAATTTGCATGTTTGCAAAACAAAAACAAGGCTTTGTTGGGCAGTTGTATAAAACCTCAAACTCAACGCTATTCCTGACATTTTGAATTGAAAAAGCTTCTTGGATGAGAAGTGAAGCGTAATCAAAGTTGGAAATAAAGTCCAGTGGATTGTGTTTGTCTTTTTTTGGAATAACAGAAAATACAACAGAGAGAAAACAGAGATAATAATAAAATAGCTAAAAACACCTGATAATACAGAGCACAAGGATATGAACTGATATTGTAAACCCTGAATAGCATTAGAATATAGAACTATAGAACATGGAAATCATCAGAAGAAAAATAAAAACCACTGTGGATTCACACTAACGTGATCGTAGTGATTTCATTGCCACATTCTGGTGCTGTTGCTCACTCAACATATTGTTTGAAATTCAAATGGTGGTAGTAAGCTTCACTCCTGCCCTGTTATAAAATTGGCCAGTTTCATTTCAACATGGTGGACCTGGATTTTACAGAACAAGTCACTGTGTAGATCGGAGCGAGATGATGAGCAGATAGAGAGCACCTCAGCCTGGGCAGAGGCTGTGGGAAACTATGTAAATGATCCTCATAAACGTGATGCAGTCCACCTGTACGTAATTGAGCATGTGTTCATGAGAATTGCAAATATGAATAATTACCGCCCAGATAATTCCACATAAGGTTACAACTTCCAGCACTTCTCAGATGGTTTTCATTCACAGAAAGGGCATGGAAGACGAAGAAGAGAGACTTTACCAGTTTGTAGAACGAGGCAGTGCTGACAGCAAGCTGAGCAGCAAAATTAAACTACCATTAAAAATCAAGCAGACAGGAATAAATTACAAAAGCTGTAAATGGCATGTTGCCTGTTGGTTGCTGTGTTACGGAAATAAAAATAAAAATAATTTGGTCAAAAACTTGTGTTGAAAAATGACAGAAAAGCAAGACAGTCAATAAAAACTACTGATGGAAAACTCCCTGCAACAAAGCCTAGGCTTTGGGTTGCTGCTCTCCTCCCTTTGGAGGTACTCAATTTAGGGCCGATTTAGGGCCCAAGCTGCCTCTCCCCCTTCCCACACTGGGGGGTCTGGTGATCTCTTCCTGGGTCTGTGGGGCTGTTCCCCCCTAAGGAGTGGAGATGCATGTAAAAGGAGTGTAAGAACACATCTACTATGAATTTGAAAGAAATGTGAGTAGTTTCCCCTGGATCATGATATGCCAACTGCAGGTGTTGTGACCGATAAATCTGTCATCAGCAAATACAAATTTGATTTATAATCACAGACTTGCATATTATAATGATGTAGCCTAATTTATAATCTGTTTTAAAATGGACAATCCTGCTAAGAAACAACAAATGCAGTAATTTAGTGAAACACTAAATTAAGTGCAACAGTGATAAAATGTAAACAGTGTGGAAGAAAAAACATGGTGCAAAAATTCATAGATATGGAAGTTCAGACCATAAAATATATATGGTGCAAATATGCAGTATTTTGACTTGGTGTTATCAGTGTGCTGTAGAGGGCAGTTGCACTCTCCTCATCCTCCGCAGGAAGTACATGGGTTTCTGTGCCCTCTTGATGTGGACCCCCAAGAATTTGGTGCTACTGACCACCTTTACAGCTGAGCTGTTGATGACCAGTGTAGCGGGATTAAGCCCATTCTTCCTGAAATCAACAATGATTTCCTTCAGCTTCTCCACATTCAGGATCAGGCTTTTATCTTTGCACCATTCCACCAGCTGCTCCACCTCCTCTCTGTAGTCTTGGTCATTGTCATCTCTAATGAGGCCCACCACTGTAGTGTTGTCTGCACACTTAACAATGTGATTGGTGGTGAACCTGGGGACACAGCCATGTGTCATCCGGGTGAACAGCAGGGGGCTCAGGACGCAGCCCTGATGGGAGCATGTGCTTAGGATGATGACATCAGAGGTGTCCAACGCAGATTGACTGAGGTCTGTCTGTGAAGAATTCTTACAACCAATTGCATATGGGTGTTTTGAAGCCCAGCTGTTACAGTTTTCCAGGTGCTGTGGGATGATAGTGTTGAAAGCTGAACTGAAGTCCAGGAACAGCATCTGCACGTTGGTGTCTGTCTGCAGCCTGTCTGCTCCATTCAGATTCAATCCTGCTCTCCAAACACCCTAACGAATAAACTGTTTTCAAAAGTCACTGACCTGTCTTGGTTGTATTTGGGTCCAGCCTCTGTTTTTCACAGGGGTATATTTCAGGGATTTATGGCATCCATCTATTCATCCATTTTCCATCACACTTATCCCTACTGGTCGTGAGGGGGGCTGGTGCCTATCTCCAGCTGTCTACGGGGGCGAGAGGAGGGGTACACCCTGGACAGGTCGCAAGTCCATCGCAGGGCAGGATAGTATGATTTTAATCACATTTTTTATTTAATGGAAGCAAAAGCAAATAATTTTTTTAAAGTAGCAGGATATCAACAAATTAACGTAAACATAGCTATTGTCACATCAGTAAACGAACCTCTGCATATTAAATCGCAGGAATTTTTCAGGATTATGAAATTATCCTGTAAAATTAGGAATTGTGCATAGACCCTGCAGATGAATTTAGATGAAAATCTCACCCTGTGGGATCAAAAAAGGAGGGGAAAAATATACTCTTTTGGAAAACCAGCCTGCCTGAAATCATGCTCCCTTATTTTTATAACCTGTGTTAATATGAGAGGCTGCATGGCAGCCAGAGAAAGATCTGGAAGCCTTTCTGTGGACAGATTCACATCTCCAACCATTATGCCAAAGTGAAATGCTTACCAGGCAGTAAATGAGTTGGTAATATTTATAGAATTAAGGGTAGCCCTATATTAAAATGCTTTATTTGGATGAGGTGTTGTCTGTATTTGAATCACGTCTGCTTCCTGGTTCTGTTTCGAAACTCACAGGTGAGTGGAAGAATAGCTAAATTACCTCTGAAAGATAAAAAAAAACCTATTCAAAATGTTGGTATTGTTGTTGCTTAGTGGCAGGTGTTGAGGTCACATAATCTGGTTCATGATCACAAAAACTATAGTAGATTAAGCAGATAGACACAATAAATCTATCTGCTTAATCTACTGATTATGTTAATCTTATTTTTAAATAAATAAACTGTTTTGTTATATTACAGCTAGATGTATCTTTCTTATCAACAGGTAAAAACAACACAACAACAACTACATCACAGCCCAGCTTTAAGGCACTGCTCCAAGCTGCAACCCATTAAACCGTTAACTTAATACACTGGGTCAAGCCCAAAGTATAATAGCAGATGTTAGAGCTTTATTGCAAACAAATGAGAGTCGAACTGGATCTAAATTAGACTTTCTTAAAACCCTTAACTCTTTGTCTCCTTTTTTGAAAGATTCATAAGCAACAAGTCGCTAAAGTTTGAAACTCAAAGCTGTATAGTGAGAGGTGTGACAAAAAGGATATGTACGAATGTTTTCAAAGCACATGCCTTCAGCAGACCAAGTGTTGACAGATGATAACATGTTTGGAGATAATGAGCTGCGGCTGGAAACACGACACTGAGAGGTGAATAAAAGCGGGATGCTATACATGCTTGCTATGAGACGCTAAAACCTTCTGGATAATTGTGAAAACTTTAAGAGAGGTCATGCAGTTTAAAGTGTCACTTTAGTGATTAAACAGCTTATCAGAGTCTGGTAAGCTGAATTATAAAGTTCACAATTCAGATATATTGTGAGTTTTTTATTTTAATATACCAACTAATCATCAAACTGCATTATGAATATCAGCTTGAACTCTTGATAATGTTTCTGCTTGATTTGCACTAAAGGAGAATCATCAGTGATGTACCTCTTTTCATTTCCTTTATATGATTCCACTAATAGCAGGATCCCCGAATGAATAGAGGCTCCTCCTTGATGAGATGAAGTTGGGGGATGGTGATATTTCAGGACCTTGGTGGCTGATTGGACTGAGGATCTTGTATTTCCATAAAAAGCAGCTCCACATTCATATCAGAACCCTTATATATAAACACCCTGATAATGTTTTGTTCCCACTGGCTCTACTGTCCTCCTTCCTGGCTTTCTTTTTCATCGTAGGTGAGACATGGCTTCTTTTTTTTTTCTCCTTTACTCATCGTATCTCTGTACGAAAAATATATTTGTGTATTTTATGAGATCCTACAATGCAGAAGAGGTGGTTTATTGTTGAGTGGAGAGGACCAGTTATTGGCGTTATCACCTTCAGGATGATAGTGCCAATTTATTTTCTAAAAATATTAACAAAAAGTTCCAGTGATATTTAAATAGGTTTGCAAATTGGTTATCAGATTCTGTAATGGTAACATTTAAGGTTGCATCATTTTTTTTTAAAGCATTATACGATAATTAAGGTTGTTAGCATTAATAGTATTTTGATAGTTAATTTAAAATATATACTTAACTTAGTTGAAGAAAGAAGGATATCCTCAGATTCAAAGAAGCAAATTTAGTTTTTCCGAAATATCAAAGTTACATCCCCCTGTCAAAAATTAGAAGCGTTGTGGAGAAGCTTGTGCCTCTCAGAGAGAAGAGTCTCTTCCAAACAAAGCAAGGCTTTTCATTGATTCCCAAAGCAGCCGGTCCATTTTGTTTAATTTAGTTTATCATTTTTTGTCAAAACAGTATATGTGTGAGGAATTCCCTTAGCAACAAGAGCTGCTAATTAGGTTTTTCTTGTGTGAAACAATGGAAATAAATGTGATTCTATTCTAGTTTATTATATTTGAAGCAGATCTATTAATTCTGTCAGCAAGTAAAAATGAAAACACATTTTTACATTATCAAGGTATAATCTGCACGAAGTGAAAAAAACCGGTAGCTTCAAGTGGTTGATACAAATTTTAATCAAGTTAAAACTAATTCTGAGAAATTTATATTTTTTTAAGGATGCAAAAAACCCGTTAAAGTTAAACAATGAGACCTTTTCTCTGTTTGTTGGCTTTGTGACTAAAGCAGCTAAGCTTGGAATTGTAAAAAAAAGGGGTTTGGCAAGCTTGTTTCAGTAGGTATTGGTGCATGGGTGTTAATGTTTTTTTTGTTTTGAAGTACTGAGAAAGATGCTGTTGCAGCACATTCACTAAAGTTATTTTCTGCGAGAAGAATTGAGTGTTAATTCCAGGAGGATGTGTGGCTTATCCCACTCCCTGCGTCAGTTGTGACATCTGACCCTACCTCTAAACTTAGCTCAATAATCCCACAGCTGCTCATTAAAGGTATAATAGGAAACAGGGGGACACAGCGGGGCCTATCGTGTGACAAAAAAATAAAATAAAATAAATTGTGATGTTTGATTTATTTATTCATTTTTCCAACAGGCTGTTAAAAAAAGAACCTGCCAATATGTCTCACGAGTAAGTTATGCTTTCTCTTACCAATATGATTTTTTGTGGATTTAAGAATTAGTATATGATTTTGGTTGTTTGGTTCAGATTTACTTATGTTTCAAAATATTAAAGTGTAAAAAATTAAGAAGAAATAGCAGAAGTAGACTTTCATATTTGTTTAACTTCCAAAGAGAATTAGAAAAAAATAAATAGGATTGAGATATGTTAATGGTTTAAAATAAACAGATGAATAGCAAAAAAGCATGAAAAATTTTGTTTTATGTTCCTCACAGCAAGAAGATGAGTTCAAGCCGCAGGCACCACCTGAAGGTAAAAGAGTCTCTGCTGACATCGGCATCCAAGATGTCTTTATCAGCTGTTGAAATGATTACCTGTTGCATTTACAGAAAACTTACATTTCATTAGGAAATTATTTCCCGTGATTTGCTTTAAAGGGCTTTCAAACCACAGCTCTCATTTAAAGCAAAATTTGGCTTTAAATGAAGTTTGTCTCCTCGAATATGCTCCAGTGGGAAAGCTTACCTGAATTCTGGTGCTGACCACACAAAGCTACTCTAGTCTGCCTAAAACCTGCGTATTGTTCTGCTTTCAAGGGAACCTGATGTGAACTACTTACAGATGGAATGGAATTGGACTGTAAAGTTAACCAAAAGTGAGGAAGTGATGAGCTGTAGAAATGATTTAATGACATCTGTGATTTGAAAAAGTTTAGATCCTCACTCTGTCTTTGCCTCACGACTATGAAGCAAAATGCTGGACAGCTGGATGCCTCATGGGCTGCTCATACTGGGTTAGCTTCTTGGGAATTAACATCTCATTAAACTACACCATTTCCTCCAGGCAGTGGAAATGTATGAAAGTAACCCAAACTAAACTAAGGTGTACATTAGCCACCAAGTCAAACAAAGTCCCCCTTTATCCTGATGTGAAAATATTCCTGATATTCTGTGTATATATCATATACACTGCTTAAAAAAATTAAAGGAACACTTTGAAAACACATCAGATCTCAATGGGGGAAAAAATCATGCTGTTTATTTATACTGATATGGACTGGGTGATGTGTTAGGAACTAAAGGATGCCACATCATTTGATGGAAATGAAAATTATCAACCTGCAGAGGGCTGAATTCAAAGATACCCCAAAAATTACAGTGAAAAGAATGATGCGGCAGGCTAGTCCATTTTACTGAAATTTCATTGCAGCAACTCAAAATGGTATTCAGTAATTTGTATGGCCCCCACGTGCCTGTATGCATGCCGCTCTGGGGTATCTCCTCCCAGATCTGGACCAGGGCATCACTGAGCTCCTGGACAGTCTAAAGGTGCAACCTGGCGGCGTCGGATGGATCGAAACATAATGTCCCAGAGGTGTTCTATTAGATTTCGGTCAGGCGAGCGTGGGGCCCAATCAATGGTATCAATTCCTTCATCCTCCAGGAACTGCCTGCATACTCTCCTCACATGAGGCCGGGCATTGTCATGAACCAGGAGGAACCTAGGACCCACTGCACAAGCATAGGATCTGACAATGGGTGCAAGGATTTCATCCCAATACCTAATGGCATTCAGGGTGCCGTTGTCTAGCCTGTATAGGTCTGTACATCCCTCCATGGATATGCCTCTCCATACCATCACTGACCCACCACCATACCGGTCATGCTGAATGAAGTGACAGGCAGCATAATGTTCTCCACGGCTTCTCCAGACCCTTTCACGTCTGTCACATGTGCTCAGGTTGTACCTGCTCTCATCTGTGAAAAGGACAAGGCGCCAGTGGCGAACTTGCCAATTCCGGTGTTCTGTGGCAAATGCCAATCGAGCTCCCCTGTGCCGGGCAGTGAGCACAGGGCCCACTAGAGGACGTCGGGCCCACAGGCCACCCTTGTGAAGTCTGTTTCTAATTGTTTGGTCAGAGACATTCACAACAGTGGCCTGCTGGAGGTCATTTTGTAGGGCTCTGGCAGTGCTCCTCCTGCTCCTCCTTGCACAAAGGAGCAGATACCAGTCCTGCTGATGGGTTGTAGACCTTCTACGGCCCTGTCCAGCTCTATTGGATTAACTGCCTGTCTCCTGGAATCTCCTCTATGCTCTTGAGATTGTCCTGGGAGACACAGCAAACCTTCTGGCAATGGCACGTATTGATGTGCCATCCTGGAGGAGTTGGACTGCCTGTGCAACCTCTGTAGGTTCCAGGTAGCGCCTCATGATAACAGTAGTGACAGTGACCCTAGCCAAATGCAAAACTGGTGAAAAAGAGTCAGAAAAGATGAGAAGGGGAAAAAATGTCAGTGGCCTCCACCTATAAAACCATTCCTGTTTTGATGGTCGTCTCCTTGTGGCCCCTCTAGTGCACCTGTTGTTAATTTTACTAACACCAAAGAAGCTGAAACTGATTAACAACCCCCTCTGCTACTTACCTGACCAAATTAATATCCCAGAAGTTTAATTAACTATATGCTATACTCTGCTATACTCTTACAAAGTGTTCCTTTATTTTTTTTTGAGTAGTGTATATCA